GGGCCAATTGTATTTGAAATAAATATAACTCTCAAAAGTCAGTTTATCGCATAGGAATATCCAGTAATGCATTTTAACAAAGCACTACATCATTGGTACCTTCTCAATATTCTGCGCAAAAAATATGTATCCATGTGTTCCAACATGCAAGAGATTAACTTGGATCTCCACCAAATGTTAACAGCGATAGTCAAATCATCACTGTCCACCTGATGGAACCTACAGCAAAAGAACATTCATGACATAAACATTTAGAAGCTTATAACGCACAGACACAACAGTTTGCAGCTCTGTTTCTCACAATTCATTTGACTTCTTTACCAAATTCTGACATATTTATGTGATTTTTTACACTCAATTTGTGTCTTTGGATCAGGAAGTTTACTGAATGATCCGGAAGGAAATTTTGGAGCAAAAGACAGCAAGTCAAACAGCCTATTCATACTTTTTTCTGACATGGGTTGTATGTTTGGCAAACACTGTTTGGAGAGGTTGAAGAAGCTAGCATACAGGAGACTACACATTCTTCCCAAGAGACTTCACACAGGCCATTGGTTCAAAGAAACGGCATAAAAGTTGCAGGCAAAGAGTTACACGGACTGAGATTGTGAATGTATTTGAATGCATTTTGATGTCTTATAACCAGGGGTTTAGGGGCATCCTTGGGAAGAGATTTAGACCTCATGGGAGGCAATTAAAAGATATGTGAAAAGCTTATCTGAGGCAACCAGGGAAAATACTATAAAAGTGCTTACACCATTGTAACCTGAGCTTGAAGCTCTCACTGTGAATCCTGTTTAATCTTTTGTTATCTCTATTCTTGATCATGAACTCTATTAGATTAATTTTGAGGATTTCACTTCCAATTATCTGTAGCAAAACCCCTTTTTATTGGTCTTTGCATAGATTCACTTGCCTACTGTGATTATAATAGAATTCTAGTGAACGGATTTTTATGATGATAAGTATATTGTATTTTTCTCAAACTTTTGCAAATGTCCAACCATTATTTGCAATTCTGATATACTGTAATAAGTACTGGAAGGTGAATTACAATAATATATCGTCAACATAGAGATATCATTTAACACCTGAGTGGCCTGAACAGATGACGTTCTTATATGACCAAATATGGTCAAGCAATGGTGACAAATGCTGAACAGGGTGATTCTGTCCACAAAGTTGCCACCCAAAATAGCCATGGGGTGAGCAAAACAATACCAATCCTAATAATCATCATAGGCGAAACCATCCTGATAAATGTCAAGAAGAAAGAACCTACTAAAATTACCATTTCAACCAACTTTGGAATTAGTGTTTGTTATGATTTTTATAATTCTGACATTAGTTACATTAGTTGGTTATATTGTCAAGGGAATATAGCCATTAGGTATTTTAGTTATAGCCATTGGATGCTATCAATTCTCTAAGTATTAGTTCCCTATAAAAACCTTACAATTCAATTGTAACTGCAGGCTATGACAGATCAATAATACTTATGCACTATTCAGTATCTCTTATCTTCTATTCTCTAATCTCTCTCCATCTCTTGTACCTCTATCTCTCTGTTCTTCCCCCTCAATCTTCTCCCTTCTCTATACGTCTCTATCTCCAAAAATTACAAACCTATATCAATGGTATCGGAGCTAGTCAATGCTTGGCCATTGATTCTTCTTCTCATACCAGATAGTATATGGTGCAAACCTGAACACAAAAAAACAATAAATGGATGATCACATAGCAAGGCTACAAGAAATATTCGAAAAGGTAGACATTTTATTAGAGATGGTCGAAGCTATCTCTAACCAGTTGCAACTACTTATGCGTGACAAAGAAGGTCCTACCAACCATAAAAAAAGGGGTCGACACAATCATAGATAGGAAGGTCATCGAGTCTAAGAGGATGATACACATAACAAAGATGAGCACCAATGCAAGAACCATTTTACAAAAATGGAGTTTCCTAAGTTCTCTCAATCCCATGTCGTGGGATGGCTTAAATGTTATGCATAGTTCTTCGAACTCAACAATACCCTAGAGGACAAGAAGGTGCAAACAATGAGCATCTACCTGTATGAAAAAGCATGGTCTTGGCACACCGTGATAGAGGAAACCTGGGGTGGTTTCAAACCCACTTGGGAACAATATGACAAGTAGCTTCAAGAAAGATTAGGGGCAACACACAAGAGACCTATGGGTGACTTGATGCTTCTTCGACGGTGTGGATCATTGGCAGACTACAATGATGCTTTTGACTCAATCGCTTGCTAGCTTCATCTTTCCCAGGATTACCTTGTCGATGCTTACTTGGAAGGGTTCATGGAGGACTACACAAGGCTGGTGCGCCTCTTTAGCCCATAACTGTTTAGGAGGCTTGATCTCTTGCTCGAATGCAAGAGATCTTGATTCAACACATGGCAGAGAAAAAGACAAGTAGCAAGAGTCCAACACACGTGTCTACCTCTCTAAATGCCTCATCTTAATTAAAGCAAGCCACCTTGGCACTAACAAAAAATGCCCTCCTAAGTAGTAGGACCCAGCAAAAAAGGAAGTCATCCTCTTCTCTCCCTAAAAGTAATAATTTTTTGCCTAAAATTAACAGTAATGCCATTAAATCTCTTTCTGCAGAAGAAGAAGCTGAGCACAGAAGCAAGAATTTATGCTTCTACTGCCATGGCAAATTTTCCAAAGATCATAAGTGTCCCCAAAGACAAAAAATGCAACTCCACTTCATTGAGATTCAAGAAATTACAAAAGATGAAATTTCAACCGAGGACTTAGAAAAGAATGATAATACAGAAGAAGAGACACCCCTGATTTCATTGTATGCTATTGAAGGGGTTGAAGGTGCCTCATCAATGAGGGTTGTGGGTTATTGTGGCAAGAGACAACTTCAAATCCTCATTGACAATGGAAGCACACATGATTTCCTCAATCTGGAATTAGCAAGGAAGTTAGGGTGGCAGCCTAATGGTACTTATGAATCTTGGGTAGAGGTTACAAGTAGAAGAAAATTGAAGTTGCATGAGGTTTGGGTAAATTTTAAATGGCATATGCGGGGTCTGGACTTTGCCTTTGATCTCAAAATTTCAGAACTACATTCTTATGACATGGTACAGGGGCTGCACTAGCTAAAAAGCATGAAAAATGCCTTTTGGAATTATGAAACTCTCACCGTGTTCTTTTGGTATAAGGGGAAATTATGCAAGATTCAAGCCAATATTCCAAATCAGTAGAAAATGGTGCAACCTAAGCATTTAGAGATCAATAACTTCCCAAAAGATCAGGTCTACCTCCTGCAACTCATCACTAATCAACAAAAAAATCTGCAATGCTTCTTGGTTCAAACAGCGACAGAACTTCCAGAAATGATTTCTACTATTTTGGAAGATTTTCCTGACCTTTTTGAAGAACCTAAGGGGCTGCCACCATTTAGAGAGGTCACAACCACCCAATTATTTTACAAGAAGGCACAAATCCATTAATTTGAAGCCCTATTGATGTCCAGCAGCACAGAAAGATGTGATCGAAAAGTTGGTCGATGATCTTCTTCCCACTAGGGTTACACAAGAATGCATCTCTCCTTTTTCAGCTCCTATAGTATTAGTAAAGAAAAAGGATGGCAAGTGGCGGATGTGTATCTACTATAGGGAGTTGAACAAAAATACTATTAGAAACCAATACCCCATTCCATTAGTTGAGGACTTGTTTGATGATTTAAGTAGGGCTAGATGGTTCACAAATTTAGATTTAAGAGCTGGGTATCATCAATTCTGAATGGTGCCAGAAGATGTTCACAAGATTAAGTTTAAGACTCATAGTGGGCATCATGAATGGCTAGTTATGCCATAGCTTGACCAGTGCCTCGGCAACTTTCCAAGGGGCAATGAACAATATCTTCAAACCTTTTCTAAGGTTTGTTTTAATAATTTTTTCATGACATTTTAGTTTATAGTACTAATATTATGGAACACATGCAGCATTTAGAACAGGTTTTTTCAATTCTAAGAAAACATTAGTATTTTGTCAAAAAGAGTAAATGCTCATTTGCTACAACTGAGGTAGAATACTTGGGGCAATTTTTCATGCAATGGCAGCTTGCTAAGAAGGAAGGGAAAGCTGGTTATTGAAAATGATTCTACCTTAAGGCAACAGAATTTGGAATGGCTGCATTTTAGTTCGCAAGGGAGCCATTTAGGAATTCAAGCAACCTATCACAAAATTAAAGCTCTATTCTGCTGGAAAAAGTTAATCAATGATGTGACAAACTTTATTTAGCATTGTGACACGTGTGCCAGATGCAAGTATGAAGTTGTTGCCTTGCCTAGACTATTACAACCTCTTCCAATTCCAAGCAGAATTTAGGAAAGTATTATTATGGACTTTATTAAAGGACTTCCTAAATCTCATGGTAAGGACACGATTTAGGTTTTGATAGATAGAATGAGTAAGCATGCACACAAATTTTTATGGATTGTGTTTATAAACTACATGGTACACCTGCTGAGATTATAAGTGACCGTAACCCAATTTTTGTAAGTGGTTTTTTAAAAGGATTTCTTGTAGATTTTAGGTGTTTGATAGCATCTTTCTGCAACCTATCATCCTTAAACAAATGGAAACAAAAGTTCTTAATAAGTGCTTGGAAACCTATTTAAGGTGCATGTGTTAGGAACAACCTAAGTAATGGAGTAAGTGGTTGTCATAGGCTGAGTGGTGGTACAACACCACCTTTCATATGGCAAAAAAGGCTACTCCATATGAACTTTTATATGGTCAGGCTCCTCTTATCCATTGTCCTTATTTACCTCACAATTCTATTTTAGATGTGTCAGCTAGGTTGCACAGATACGGGTACGAGCATCGGATACGATACAGCATGATACGGGGATACGGCAAATTTTTAAAATTTTAGGATACGGGTACGGCAATATATATTATTTTTTTATATAAATGTAAGTAATATGTCAACTATCAAAATGTATAGCAATCCAAAAAAATACAAAATACTATCAAATACATCACATTTCATCATCCTCATTTTCCATTACATTACTAGGCTCTCCTATAATTTCTTGCTCTAAAATGGGTTCATCAAGTGACAAACTTGCCATCTCAAGGCTATTGACAGCATCAAATGGCTCCATAGTGTCTCCACCAATATCCCACATTCTACTTTGCCCAATGCGATACTTTTCACTCTTCCTTGACAAGAGACGAAGATTAGTATGCACAAAAACTAAGTCTTCAGCTCTTTTAGGAGTGATCTTGTTTCTCTTCAATGAGTGGATAAAGGAGTAAGTGCTCCAATTTCTTTCACAACAAGAGGAAGAGCACGGTTGGCCTAGAAGTTTCAATGCAAGCCTCTAAAGAATAGGGGTGAAAGAACCATAATTTAACCACCACCCTTTAGGTTCTAAATTCCACCTATCTTGCAAGCAATCAAATGATGAATAGAAGTCTAAACTTCCAACAAATTTTGGGAACTCTTGAAAGACCGCCTTTCTCTCCTCAGGATCAGTAAAGTCCCTATAAAGGCACTTTACTCTCTCAGATGATATTTCATTATCTAAATGAGGCGGAATTCTATTGGGAGCACCTTCAAGCCATTGGGGTGTATAATACCTATAACATTTGCAAACAAAAAGGATTAAGAACAAAACTAAATAATTCATGAATGAAAAATATTGCAATAGTAATATAACTAACCTAGGATTCAATGAATGTGCAAGACAATGAAGGGGAGTGCAACTTTTTGTCCATCGATCAATAATGATCCTATAAACAACATCAAAGAAAGCTGAATACTCAGAAAGCTCCTTATTCTCATGCTTGTAGATGTACTCCTTCACTTGTTCTATCATTGAATCCCACATTTCATAAATTAAATGATGTCTAGGCTTATTTGTGTCAGCCATCCGAAGCATGTCATAAATCGGTCCAGTGAAAGAAAGTATATAATCCACCTTATCCCACCAAGAGTCATTAAGGATCAAATTTTTCACTGTGGCTGCCTTTCCAACATCATCTTCCTTATAAGCATTCCATGCTTCACTTATCACCATTGTACGAAGTGAAGTTTTAATGAGCTTGAGTCTTTTGAGCATAACAATGGTGGATGCAAAGCAAGTGTCAGCTATGGCAAGTAATTTTAATGGCACAAATTCATTAAAAATTGCCAATCGCATAGAATGACACATGATAAATGTTCTAATAAAAGCAGTATCATCCTTAACCTCCTCTATCCAATGGCATTCATCATACACAATCTCATTTGCCTCTGTGTTCTTTGCTGCACATATGTTCTTTAATACAAGATTAAGCGTATGCACAACACATGGCGTCCAGAAAATAGTGGGATACTCAAACTCTATAAGCCTACCTGCTGATTTGCAAACAGATATATTGTCAGTGATTATTTGAACCACATTTTGAGGTTTGACCTCTTCAATCACTTGACGCATCAAGTCAGCCATATAATGTCTGTCTTTATATTCTTTGGATCCATCAACTGCCTTCAAAAACATGGGATCCCCATCAGACACAGCCATAAAATTAATCAGAGGCCTCCTTTGAGCATCTGTCCAACCATCTGTGACTATGCTCACTCCTTTCAAACTGCAAGTTCCTTTAATTGGTTCAAGTAACTTCTCTGTGTGAGCTCTTTCTCTTTGCAACAATGGACCCCTTAATGCATTATAACCAGGAGGTTTGTATCCAGGAATGATGTTGTTCGCAGCATATTGATATGAACTAATGAAATATGGATTGCGTGACAAATGAAAAGATAGACCACCTGTATAAAACATTCTTGCAATTTCAGCATGTAGATTTTCTCTTGCCCCTTGTTGGAAGGCCTTTTCTAATGGACTTACTGCCCTTCTCTTGCTTTGGTTGCTTTCACTTGTCATAGGATATAAGGGAGATGAACCTTCAGCCGGGGGTGGTAATGGCACTTGCTTTGACTTGGTCTTATCATCAGCATCTTCTTGTAATTTTCTCATCTCAGCTAGGCAATACTCATCAACTTTCGAGCATATAGCAATTCCCTTGCCAGAAGTTTTTAACAAGTGCCGCTTAACTCTAGAATAAGAGCCATTGAATTCTTTGTTACAATAATTGCACCTCCAATATCTATTTCCACCTCCTGGTATGTCTCTATTTTTATTCACCAAAGTGACATAGCACCATAAGGGAGTTCCATCTTTTTGTAGCTCATAAAATGGGCTGCTGAATTAATACTTCCCCAGAACTATTTGCTGTAGCCATAGCTAATTAAAAAAAATTGAGATAAACTAAAATTAAATATGACTAAAAGCATTGAAATGCAGATTGAGATTTGAGCAAAATAACATGTAACATAAAAATAGAAAGCAAGCAAGCATTAAATATAAATTCTACACATGAACATTGCAATCTAATATATTAAATTAATAAATAAAAATTAAATTTAGAGAAGAGGGCAGAGTATGAGCTTCGGTCAAAAGAAAAAAAAAACTGGACATGAGAGTTGAAGCAAAGTTTAAGTCTTTAAGATGAATCAAAAATAAAATAAAAAATCTATTCATTTTTCAGTTTCGGGCTCGTGACAGCGTGAGAGACAGAGTTGAGAGTTGAGAGTTGAGAGACACGAGAGAGAGAGAGAGAGAGAGAGAGAGAAGTGTAAACCAGTGAACGGATGAAAGACCGACGCCGGTGAGCTGAGCAACTAAGAATGCATAAGAGCAGGAAAGAACCAAGCGCACGGCAGGTCGGCAGCTTGTTCCAAAGGTTCGCGAAGGAGAACAACGGCGTGATCTGGGAAGGTTCGATCTGATTTCGCGAACTGAGTGTAAGAGAACGACGGTCGACTGATTTCGCGAGTTGGGAGAGAAGGTTAGAATCAGAAGTGAGTGAGGTTCGATCTGCTTATTTAGGCAATTTTTTTTATGCAAAACGCAGTGTCCAGCGTCGAAGCCGTGTCAGCCGTGTCTCGCCGTGTCGCCCAAACAAAAAACGTATCGGACACGGATGTACTTGCACGGAGCGAGTGTTCGTGTCCGGTGCATATCTGACACGGATACGCCACCAAAATCAGCGTATCCGTGCTTCCTAGTGTGTCAGACAGGTCTTTCACAACAAGGGAAGAAATGTTAAAAGTTTTAAAGCATCATCCGCATCAGGGTTCCAAATATGATGAAGCAAAAAGCTGATGTGTCACGCCCCAAAATAGCTTATGTTTATAGCCGGCCCCAAGCCCAAGTAAAGGAGGAGGGTTGTGTTAGATCATCGACAGCCAATGTAAAACTTTGTTGAATCTATCATGAACATGGACAATAGACGTTATAATATTAATGCTAGGTCATTGCCTGTAAGTAACGCGCTGCATGGCTTGAGTACAGTGATAAGTAAGTTAGAGCCGCTGCATCGGCACCCAAATTTAGTGTTAAATGAGCAAGGGCTACCACGTCATTCTGGACGTGCATGGCTAAAGAGGTTAGTCCATGAGAGCAAAATTAGATTTGGTACTTGGAATGTTGGGACATTGAATTGTAAATCTATAGAGGTTGTAGGGGTTATGATTCAAAGGAAAATCAATATCCTTTGCCTGCAAGAAACAAAATGGCGTGGAGAAGAAGCTAAGGATATTCAAGATTTCAAACTTTGGTATACAGGAAAAGTAAGCGCACGCAATGGAGTAGGCATCATTGTGGATAAGGAGTAGAAGAAGAATGTTGTAGAAGTTAGCAGAATTGGAGACAGAATTATTTCCTTAAAAATAATAATTGGACGTGAGACTGTTAATATTGTTAGCGCTTATGCGCCGCAAGTCGGGACAGAAGCCAGCCTGAAGGAATTATTTTAGGAGGATTTGGAGGGGTTGATTCGACACATACTACAGAGTGAAAAGATTTTTATTAGAGGAGACTTTAATGGGCATGTTGGGAGGGAGGCTGGTCAGTATACGAGGGTGCATGGTGGTTTTGGTTTTGGAGAGCTAAACAATGAAGGACAAACTCTTCTTGATTTCTCATTGGCATATGATTTTAAAATTGCCAACACTTGTTTCAAGAAGAGAGATGAGCATCTCATCACTTACAAAAGTAGAGCGTCAAGGTCACAGATTGATTTTCTTTTAATTAGAAACACAGATAGAAGACTTTGTAAAAATTACAAGGTGATCCCCGAAGATGCTGTAACGACACAACATAAGGTCCTAGTCCTCGATGTGTGTATTATGAGTAAATCCAAAAGCGTCGACAAGTAATAGCACCAAGGATTAGGTGGTGGCAATTAAAAGGTGAGAAGCAAGATATTTTCAAGCGAAATCTTTCGGACAAAGGAATTTGGGAATCTCAGGGAAGTGCTAACATCATGTGGGAGGATATGGCTAAAAAGATACGGGAGGTTGCAAAAGTAGTTTTGGGAGAATCAAAAGGTTCTGCTCCGAGAGATAAGGAGTCTTGGTGGTGGAATAATAGTGTACAGGACAAAATCAATTATGAGAAGAACTGTTTTAAAGCCATACATTTGTGTAACAATGAGGAAAATTGGGAGAGGTACCGTATGGCTAAGAAGGAAACTAAGAGAGCTGTGGGTGAAGCTCGTTCTAAAGCTTTTGAAGAATTTTATAAGAGCCTTGAGACGAAGGAAGGAGAACGAAACATTTATAAGATTGCCAAGAGTAGGGAAAGAAAATCAAGGGATCTAGAACAGGTAAAGGGTATTAAGGATGAAGAGGGAAGAATTTTAGTTACAGATGATGAAATTAAAAATAGATGGGAGACTTACTTTTCCAAACTTTTCAATGATAGAGAGGGTTCATCTAGTAACTTGGAGGATTTAGTAACTGGTGAAAGAGAACAAAATTTGTCATTCTATCGAATAAAACGTGATAAGGAGGTAAAGGAAGCTTTTAAGAAAATAGCAAATGGTAGAGCCAACGGACCTGATCGTATATCTATCAAAGCGTGGAAATGTTTAAGTGAAGAAAGGGTGAGATGGTTAACTAAGTTATTTAATGTGATCTTACGGTCCAAGAAAATGCCTGATGAGTGGAGAAGTACATTAATTCCTATTTATAAAAATAAAGGAGATATTCAGAATTGTACTAACTATAGAGGGATTAAACTCATGAGCCACACAATGAAATTGTGGGAGAAAGTAATTGAGCACAGGTTGAGATTGAAGACAAGTATTTCTGAGAATCAGTTTGGTTTTATGCCAGTTAGATCAACTACAGAGGCGATTTATCTACTAAGGGGATTAATGGAAAAGTATCATTGTAAAGATAAAGATTTACACATAATTTTTATTGATTTGAAAAAAAGTTATGACCATATACCAAGAGAAGTGCTTTGGAAAGCGTTGGAAAAAAAGGGAATACGGATTGCTTATATTAAAGCCATACAAGATATGTATGAGGGGGTAAAAACTAGTATAAGAACGTCTAGTGGTCAAACAAAGGAATTTCCTATAAAGATTAGACTACATCAGGGATCATCTCTTAGTCCTTATCTGTTCAACTTAATCCTAAATGTTGTGAAATTGTGAATTTGCATTTTGAAGTATTTTTGCCAAGTGGAATGTTATATTGTAATATTATTAAAAATGAGAAAATTGTGAAGATTATAATATTGTATAATTGTACAATATTGTTATGAATTCATTTGATTAGTGTGGGAGGTGTTAGGAGACTTGTTTTTGTTATTGTATTTATATGCCACGTGGTACACCCCTATTGGAGCCCAATAGGTGGCTTGTAAGGGCTCGAGCTAATCTATCTTTGGTTGGGTAATTTAGCACCGAGTGAGGGTTACGGCTCGAAGATAATGGAGAGAGATAAGGATGATTGTTTATTTTGTATTGTAATATTTCTTGTATTTTTGTTAGAATTATATGACTGTTATTTCCCCACTTAACAAGCACACATTTAACTGTTTGTATACACTATCATAAATTGGCATTGATTACTGGGACTTTTGAATCTCATTATGTGGTTAACAATTTCAGAAGAAGAGCCACGAGTGGCGCGTGGAGGAGTCCCTAAGGCTTAATGGCATAAGTCCACTGTCCCCTTTGGGTATTTGATTTATGATTTTTAATGTAATATATTGCCAATATTAGGGCTTTTGTTTATTGACAATTATATGAATGCAATAATGTAATCATACCCTTCAAACTCTTTCTACTTTTAGCACACTTTGGATAACTGTAACTTTAACCTTTGATTTATTTTGGATGATTTGAAATGGCATGATTATGAGGCCAAATAATTGGCCTATTTTGAAAATTGATTAAATTGTTAGTTATTGATTTATGGTTTGCACTTATTGGGAATATAAGGATGGAAAATGTGATTTTAGCCTAATGGTATGTGGGAAGTAAAAATTTATCTGAGATGTTGTATTCTGCGAGCTTAAACTAATTATAAAATGTTTTATATTGAATTTATTGATATAAAATGTGTTGGGTGGCTGTAACCCAACTATGGTTGTAAATGTATATTAATTGTATAAAATTATTTTGTATTATTTAAAAAGGGGTTTAATCTTTTCTACCATGGTAGTGTTTTAAATTATAGAATTGTTTCAAAAAAAATATAGAATAAGTTGACTTCTTTTTACCATGGCAGACACTTTTCTACCATAGTTGAGTTAAATTGTTTTTGAAAAAAAAAATTAGGGTATTACACCATCCACTTACCCGAGACAATCCCAACACCGTGATTTACCCCTTAGCATTCCTCACAAGATTTATTCCTAAAACATCCAATATAATAATAACTGAACCTCTAAAATTTTATAAAAACTCATAATTGTTCATTCACTTAATCATTATAATATATTCTCGCATTGCTCTTGGACCCCAATCTTTTAATTTCCATTCCAAAGAAATTCATATTCTCCGCATTCCTTTATAGTGCACGAGTCATAATAATCTATTAACACGTTTTAACTAAACAATACCATTGGTTACACTTGCACTTTTCCCACAACTTTGTAACTTGAAACTATAGCATTTTATTTTACATATCTGGAGGTTTAATTAAATACAATAAGCTGTAGATCCAAAATGAATAATCAAATAAAATAACATTCATCGACCCCATATTCCTTTTTCAACACTTATATGTAAACAAAGTCCTTGATCTCAATTTCTTATAAAAGAATATAATATATTCTATACACAAATTTAGTCATTGTATGGACTATTCTAAGTGTCATGAATAAAATTCTATGGTCTACATTACAAAAGCAAGGCAACTAGACAGCTCTTACGCATGTACTAAAAGTCAATGAACACATTCATAATCATGGATATACAAAGAGGCACAAATGCACACACATGCAACCACGCACTAATTACATACACCCTAAGAATTTCTATAAAGCTCTAAGCAAGTAGATTAATAAAGTGGGTGTGGAAGACAACCCCTATCATAATTTTACAAAGATTTAGTTAACGATTCACTATCCAAATATCATCATTTATCTCACAATTTCTTCATAATACTTTAGCCGTGGTCAATTATTTTATTAAGACATGATTCTCTCTCAATCCTTAGATCAAACACCTTATGTGCACAGCTTATAAGCCATTCAATATAACTTGTTCAACTTCAATCTCCTACCCAACAAATTTCATACATCTACCACTAAATTCATCGTACTTTTTCAATCCAATTCCCTATCAAAAAAAAAATAAGTTGAAACTTAGAAAAATTTCAATTCCAAACTGCACAATTTCAGCCAAACAAGCAAGCAGGGAAAACCAATAAATATATATATATATATGCACCACATAAAATCATCAGAAATGAAGATGGAAGAATGAGCTCCTTCACCAGCCATCGGCAGCAATGACGATGGAGGGAAAGGAGTTCGGTGCTGAACAAGGGAAGGAGAAAACCAGAGCATTGAACCTTCAGCAACAAAGAATGAAAACTGCAGCCCAATGTTGAAGGACCTATCGCCGGCGACGCAGAAGAACAAGGATCGGACAAGCTTATGAAAGTCCGCGACGATGAGCGATCGGCAAAGGGAAGCAAAGAGAAGCAAGATGAATCCCCTTGCTTTCACGCCACAGCACACGGAGGAGGAAGAAAAAGAAGACCTTTCATGGTTGCCGGCGCCGAAGAAGAATGAAAGAGGAAGACCGAGGACAGCAGGGAGGATTCGCATACTCTCTGTTCTTCTCTCTCTCTGTGTCCCCCTCCCTCACAAATGAAGCAGAAGCTTCCTGATCTTATCTCTAAATTTTTCCCTTTTTTTTTACGCACCAAGGGCAAAATGATAATTTAGCCAAGTTATTGGTGAAATAAAAATTTTCTCCCCTTACATTGAAAGGGTTTGAATCTAAGACTTGCCTTATGAATGACTAGCTCAATCACCACTAGGCTAACTCACTTCCTTGATAAATTAATACTTATATATATATATATCCTCAAAATACCTCATCATTAATTTGAATTTCAATTAAATTTTAGGTCATTACATGATGCTCATAAGACTGACCATGAGTTCATGGTGTGACAATAGGTCTTCCTCAAATTGCAACCCTATAGACAACCACATGCTACTGCAAGGAGTTCTCAAAAATTAGCACCTCAATTTTTTGGTCCCTATGAGGTGCTAGAAAAGATATGGGCAATTGCATGTAAGCTTGAACTACCACCAGAATCTAGAATACACCCTGCATTTCATGTGTCTATTAAAGTTGTGCCCTAATCCTAAAGTAAAATAGAGACACCCACCATTAGATTGGCCAAAATTTCCATCAGTTACAGAACCTGAAAGCATTCTGCAGAAACGTGTTGGTGGGAAAAGAGGGAGAATCATAACTGAAGTCTTGGTAAAATGGAAACAATTACCTGATGAAGAAGCATCATGGATGCCCTTACATCAACTTCAGCAGAAATTTCCAGTTTATAGTAAATAATCCGTGAGGGCTAGGGTCTTTCAAAGGATGTTTTGATTTTTATAATTCTGACGTTATTTACATTAGTTAGTTATATTGTCAAGGGAATATAGCTGTTAGGTATTTTAGTTATAGCCGTTGGATACTATTGATTCTCTGTGTATTAGTTCCCTATAAAAACCTTACAATTCAATTGTAACTGGAGGCTATGACAGATCAATAATACTTGTGTACTATTCAGTATCTCTTATCTTCTATTCTCTAATCTCTTGTTCCTCTATCTATCTCTTCTTCTCTCTCAATCTTCTCCATTTTCTATACTTCTCTGTCCCCAGAAATTACAAACCAACGTCAGTGTCACTGCCCTGACTCTCAACAAAATGTGAGCTGAAGATGCCCAAAACCAAGACCCTCACTACAAAGTGAGGTGAGGATACCCAAATACTAAGACCCTCGCAGCATAAGTTACAGTAAAAAAGCAATGACAATCTAGGGACATCCAAAACCCAAGCTCCTTTCTAAAACTAACCAACCTGGCCCATTTTGCTAGATCAGAAAAGAAAGAAATTCCCTAACAACCAAGAAAGACTTCTCCATGAAGATCTTTTTTTTGTAAAATATATGAATTTGAGACCTTACCAGCCTTCAGGGATGAAAAGTGCATCGCCTGCATTAAGAACAGCTTTCTGTGCAAACTTCATTGAGTTTTTTGCCCTTGGATAGAGTGAGTAGTCAGGGCTTTCTAAAGCGACAGAGCTGCCTCACGAATTTTATTTTATTTTTTAAAGAGAAAGGAAGGACAAAAGAACAAAAGAGAATATGGAATGAGTTAAAAGATCTTTAAAAAACAAAAAGTCAACAAGCTTAACATAAAAGAATTATCAGTAACTACATTGAATGGGTGGAGAAAAGAAAATCAAAGCTTCAATGGATTAGATTTATATGCAATTCATTATATCCTTACTATAAGGTTCCCCGATCAAAACATGGAAAGTGTATGGCTCTCCGGCAAAAATATGACATATATATGGTTTAATATGGGAGTTATATAAATTGTCTGCAAAATCCAAACAGACATCATACTATTATTATAGAACAACACACTAGCCAGTTTTGAATTGAAAATCTGACAATAAAGATACAAGGAGCCATAAATAATTTTTTTCCTCATTTCATTTCCTTTGTTATAAAGATTGCAGCATACCTGTGGTTAGAAGCCTCACCATATATAGGCATTGGGTATAGCAAAGGACTAGCTGAAGGAGGCCACAAAAGAACTGCAAATAATTTCAATTATAATTTCCAGCACGAGTTGTCAAAATTCATCAGAAAGTATATCCAAATATAACATTTAAGCTAGCTCTCCAACATTTCATTCCCCACTGCAGATTAGAACAGAAAATCAATACTAAAGTGGGTTGACAAAATGCAGGTCAGAAGTGACAAAACAGTCAGGAGAAATATCCACTCTGCTACATTACTTTATAGTTTAGACATTAACCAGATTAAAACATTAGTAAGCCATTCAGTGTATAGAACTTGGTAGATAACAAATAGGATGCACCTGACAAGGACCACCAGCGTACAACCACTATTGTAGAGAAGAGAAGACATCCATCAAAAGTGGGAATGGTACCTCTAAAAGAAGGCATATCCTTACCTTGTTTGCGCCCAGAAACTATGCACAGAAGATTATGGTGCGGATCATAGTGAGTACTTGATCTAGCTTGAGCATTGTTCATCCACAGGTTGATAGAAGATAGCTCTTTTGCCTCCAAAATCGGAGGCTGCAGTAAACAAATATCAATAATCAGAATTCTCTATAGAAAAATGCATAAGATGTGAAACAATACACGCATAACAGAATTGAGAGAGGAAATTGACTAACTATCCTGACGTCTTCCCTCAATGTTTCCAATTGAACCCTGTCCTCATGATCATTATTCATGATTGCCACCTGAATTACAAGCCAAAAGATTTCATTAAAAATTATGGCACTCTCAAATAAATCAAAAGAAGACAGCAGCAAAACCAAGACAAAAATGTACATAATTATTGAACATTATTAAGAAATGGAAAGAGCTGGAGCTGCATATATTTGAAAGGAAAATTAACGAGTTCTTTTGTGAATCAATAGAAAAGGTACCCATCATCTCATAGATCTTGAATTTTCAACCTGCGCTAAATAAATCTGTTCAGGAACATGTTCCAACTGCAAAGAGCCATGTTCAGTATTGGAACCCGCTGGATCGTGTCTTTGAGGCCCAAAACAAGCATCAAGGCCTCCATCCTTATTTTGCATGTGTTTCTTGCAAAAACCAATAAAGGTAGAAAATAGTAGAGGAACCTGTTAAAGATGGAAAATAGTGTAATTGAATCATTAGTGCCATTATAGAAGTACCAAGTTTCATGATGAAATTGGTAGATGATTACCCTTTCATGGCTACCAATATCACCATAGAAGATAGGTGCAGATCGAGAAAGCATAGCCTCCACCATGAAGGACCCTACCCGTTCCTAAATTGGAGGTAGAACAAAATAAATCCATTAATAGTTAATAAACATAGAACGATATCATTAGAAACTCCGAAACAACCAATTATTTCAGTGTGCTTTTCATCTATATGATGCAAGCAGTAACTCATGCATCGAAATTATCAATGCAGCCAAGTGAATCATACACTTGAACCTAACTCGACTTTACTAATCATGACAACTCAAATTTCAAACGGCAATCTTTTAATTTAAATCAGAATTAACCATGCAGATACAAAACCACGCTTCATAATCGAGCATTGGATAGAATCGGAAAAGAGGAAGGGGGACTCGTAATGGGCAAGAACCCAATGAAAAAACAAATTTTCAACCGTGGACTCGTTGTACAAAGCAATAAAGTAACAGATGAACCTGCAAGTAGTCAAGGCCTCCGTTTGATGGATTCCACTTGGAGAACGCTCTCCAACCCTTGATGCATCCGCTAAACACCTTTTGAAAATCAAGAACAACGAAGAAACAGATAAGTACGCAGGTAAGCAAGAAACGAAACAGAGACTTCAGCTTTTTATTCTGTTGAAGCTATTGGTGAGAAGGTGAAGCAAAAACTTGGGAGTGGTGAGTGTTCTTACAGCAGGAACGTTTCTTGCTTCGACAAGAGACTCAAAATCAGTGGCCGCGGGCAGTTCTTCGAATCTTTGGATTCGAATGGACTCTCCTACAGACATTGGGCGCCTGCGCAACACTGCCAGTCTGTCCCTCGTCAACGAGTCGAACGCTCTTTTTTCTCGGACAGGAGCACTTGTTTGCTGGTTTTCGAACGTGGGACACTGATTTTTTTGGATGCTGCCGTTTCTTTTTTGGTACAGGTGATGGCTAAAACCCAAAAAAAAAAAAAAACAAAGCAGAAATTAACGCTTTTTCTTGCATTACACATTCAAAAAAAATAAAATTTTATTTTTAAAATATTAAAAATTATTTAAATAAAATATTTTATAAAAAAACATTTAAACAGTGACAAAAATGAAACTAAAAAACATGATTATTTGAAAGTTTTAAAAAGTAAAATCTAAAAATAAGATATTATTTAATCATATTATTTCAAATTTTGGTCAAAAAAATCATAATATTTCAAATTTAATATCATATTATTTTATTTAAAAATATTTAATTAATTAAAAATATAATTATTATTTTAATAGTAATAATTAGATATCAAGTTTTTATTATTATAAATTAAATAATTAATTATGTTAATTTTAGCATTAATATATTTTTCAAAATTATAAATTAAAAAGTGTAAATAACTAGAGATCAAGTTTTTAACATTGTAGATTAAATTTTACATTATTTAAAATATTTATCAAACTTTTAAAATATTTTAAATATATTATATTTGTATAACAAAAATTATAAATCATCATAAATTATTATTTTTTTTGGTAATTGTATGTTCAAAGCACATTCCACTGTCATGATTCAAATAATTTTTAATGTATTAAATTAACTTTTAAAAAATATATTCAAATATAAATTTTGATATAATAATTAATTTTTATTAAATGAACTTTTACTAAATAGACTTTTAATAAATTGAAAACCAAACACATACTAAACTTGCATTTGCTTGAAAAGTATATTCAAATTACATTTAAAATGAACTTCCTCTGTTTCTGGTTGTAGGAGAAATTTTCACTTTTTATTTTTTTTATATAAATAAAATCACTTATTTTAATAAATCTTCATTGCATATTTTTTAAATCACTTCTCATAATTTACATCGATAAAAAATAATTTATATATACTTATGTTGATTAATATAGAGTATTTTAATTTATTTTTTTTCATGCATAATTATCAAGATTAATTAATTTTTAAAATTTGTGTAATACAGTTTTTTTATATATAAAAATAAACGGAATATATATTTTGGGGGATATAAATCGAAATCCAAACGGGCGTATAGGATTCAGATTTTAGATCCACATATTTTTGTTGAACAAGGTCCTCAATTGCCTTAAAAAAAAATTCGTGGCCAGGTTCCTAATGGGCTAATGGGTTTCATCGGCATTTATGGACTAAGATGATCCAGATGGGTTTCGGACTACAAGTCTATTTGGGCTATCGCCTCAGACTATGAGTTAAATAAAAAAAAGCGGGGGAAGCTTGAATCCAGTCGTATTAATGTGTTTAATATCATAAAATTTTGGTGTGCTGTCTAATTACTGCAGATGTGTTTTCTGTGTTATTTTCGCCCCCCACCCCACTCTCTATGCGTTTATATGAGGGTTGAGACTAATTTTTCATAAATGTTAGGTGCAAAATTATGTTGAAAAATGTTTATATACTTAGTATTTTATATATTTTTTTGAGCCAAATTTAGTTTTATATGTTTAAAATTCTTATTTCCAATTATAAAGATATGTAGATTTTTTACATTATTTTTTAGGAAAAATATATTTTTTAGTTCTTAAATTTTTTTTGCAATTGTCAATTCAATTTATAAACTTTAAATCAGAACAAATCAGTCTCCATACTTATTGACTTGAAATAACTCAATCATTGTAATATTTTGATCTACTGCAAGTCCTTTATATGATTCTGTGATTCAATAAATTACAAGGAATGAGTTATATTAAGTTAATGTTCAAAAACTAAATCAATAGTTGAAAAGAGTTTATAGGCTAAAATGTACATTCTTCCATTACTTTTGTAACAAATTTGTTATTAATATTATTGCTTTCAAACAATTATTGATAAAGGTATTTCAAGTACTAACATTAGGTAAGGCAGCAAGTGGTTCAAATCTCTATTAGAAGAAGTGCCAAAATTCAATAGATGACTATGCCTTGAATAAATTGTTTTCAATGCGAAGACACATGTATGCAATAAAAAAAATATGAATTAGGAGTCATTTTTATTGTTGGACTTTCTATGTAAGGTTTATTAGTGTTTAGAATTTGATTTTGGATCATATTTACCTTTAAACTCCTAAAATCCAACAACTCATTATTTTACCATTCACGCATCACTTGTTGACCTTATCTACCGAGCTGGACACATTTCATTGACTTTTTTTAAGCCACGTGGTGTCCGAGTAGATGCCCGATCAAAAATTAATAG